TAAAGATAAATGACAAACAAGAAAATTCTGTACTATAACAAAGAGGATGATCACTACCCTTAATATATAAAGAATCCTTATAAATCAATACTAGAAAGTTGAAAGACAAATATCCTAATATAAAAATGAGCAAAGATAATGAACAGGCAGTTCACAGAAAAAATACAGTTGCTGAATAAACACACAAAAGTTCTTCAGTCCCAATAATAATAAAATAAATGCTTTAAATAATGAAATACAATTTTTACCTACTAAATATAATATGTAAGATTTTAAAAAACCGGCTGGCCGGTTAGCTTAGTTGGTTAGAGAGCACTGCTGTAATACCAAGGTAAGGAGTTTAGGTTCACACACTGGCCAGCCAAAAAAGAAAAAGATTTAAAAAATAATAATTCTAAGTAGCAATGTAAATCAGTGCTTTTATTCTGATATTTGGCAATATGCATCAGAAGCCTTAAGCATGTTAATTAATACCTTTTGTTATGATTAGGATTTATCTTAAAGAAAAAGCATCACGAATGCACATAAAGATTTATCTATAAAGATGTTCGCTACAGCATTATTTCCAACAATAAGAAACTAAAAACAAATGTCCAAAAATAGAGAAATGGTGACTTTTCAAATTATTAAAGGAGCTAAATTCCTATATTCAAGTAAATTATGACATAATAACAAAGAGAATACCACGCAGCATTAATGCTCACACATGAGAATAACTGACTTACATGGAAAAGGCTTATAATATACTAAGTGGGAAAAGTACAGTGAGAAAGCAATTATAAAAATAGGCACAGGTGTTACATGCATGTGTGTGTGTGTTTACAAGGAAAAAACACCAGAAGGCAATATACACAATATAGTAATGTATGTTGTGCTCTGGTAATAAGAATACAAATGACCTAAAATTTCTTTGCACTCTTCTAATGTTTCAAATTTATCTCTAATGAACTTGTATTACTTGTATAAGAAAACACCATTAGAATTTATGTGAAGAGGTATAAATTATTACTTACTTTTATAGCAATGTTAATAGAAACTTCCTGAATATTAGCAAGAGGTGGGTAAAGTCTCCCTTGGGATAGTTCTTTATCTGTCAATTGACTTGTCAGTGCCTGAAGAGAGAAACAGCATTTTACTTTTGTTTGTTTAAGTAACAGAATAAGGACCTAGTAAAATGGAAGAAGTGTTGGGGAAACAGAATAACACAGGTAACAATAATTCTCTTTATTTCTTGCAGGAATACACTTAAACCACTACAAAAATTAAAACTGTTCTGGGCTGACCCCGCGGCTCACTTGGAAGAGTACGGCGCTGGGAGCACCAAGGCAGTGGGTTCGGATCCTATATAGGGATGGCCGGTGGGCGACACCAAACCTAGGGTTACAATCCCCTTACCGGTCACAGAAAAAAAAAATAAAATAAATAAAACTGTTCACCACTAAACAATACAAAAATAACCACATTTAAAGATTTATTGATATGTTCTACTTTTTACAGGGCTTGGCATAATTACAACAGCTACTATGAAAATAGACATTAATATCTGTATTAATGTGAGTTCTTCAGAACTCAATTGCAAAGTCTGGAGCTCCAATGGGCCTGCACTCCAAATAATACCAGTACTTGTCCATCACAAATATACACAGAATTATATTTTATTTATGCCGTCATATTATGTTAACTTTGGATATATAAAATGCAAGTACAGTCTAAGTGTTATAAATATGAAAGTATTCACAGCTGACAATCAAACACTTGGAAAGTCATGATTTAAAAAAATTAATTTAATGCAAAAGTAGACAGGCAAACCAAAAAAGTAATGGATGTGTAACTTTCTTTTCATTAATAAGGCAGATTTAACCCATTCTGTCTCAGCTTTTAATTTTAAGATCCATTCATCTTTATAATTCATCCTTTATATAATAAACAATATCCAAAACATTTACCTTTGCAGCTTCTAGGAAAACACTGTCACTAATATGCCGGGTATTACAGAGAATAACAGCTAAAGCCACACCTAGAATACATTTTAAATTGTTTATTTAGTAAGGTCACTTTTCAAATTATTAAAGGAACCAAATTCCTATATTCAAGCAAATAGATGGTAGCCCCCCATCCCAAACCACCCCCCCAAAACCAAAAAGTAGCCAAGAAATAAACAGAAATCTGGGTTAAAATCAAGTCAAATGATCTTTGTTAACTGTTGTAATTCTTATTCAATAAAGAAATAATTTCAGAAATATCAAATGGCTTTTCTCAATTTAGTTTTTACATTTATCAAAATTATAAATGCATACAATTCATCAACATTTGTTACAAAAGACACCAGTTCCCAGCCCACCTCTAACTACTTCACTTTTTGCTCTTCAGAGGCAACTACTTCCAATTCTTTTAGCTGATTATTTTAATGCTATGTCTCTCACTCTTAAAGAACTTGCTTCTGATTTTTGAGTTTTAGAGATCACTGACTCCTTCTAGTGGGAAATAAGTATTTAGCTCTCCTTCATATTTCCAGCCTTCTGCCTTCTTCCTGGTAAGGTAAGAGCATAATTTTGATTCAATCAATATTTACGGTTTATATCATCATGACTTCATAAATACTAGTCACAGCCGAGCCATTTACTAACAATATATCATGAGCACTTTTTCTCTTCTGCATAATTTATTATTGTCCTTTTTCTCTTTGATTTTTCAGTACTTAACATTATCTCATCCTGAAACTCTCACTCAATTGTCTAAACTGTCTTCAGTTTCAGCTACCTCATGTATGAGTGAGCTCCAATCTGGTCTGGTTGTCTTCCATTCCAGATACGGAGCTGTCATCCTGAAAAACTCCCTTATCATCATGGGGACTCTTTTTGCTTCTTTTTAAGTTGAGTTCATTTCCAAAATCCTACTTTTTCCCTGTTTTTTGTTATTCCATATTTTTGGTAAAGTATATTTTCCTATGCTTTTCTACAAAACAATGCATGGGAGATACATTTTTTGAAGTCTTGCATTTCTGAAAATGTTTGTCTACTTCTTTCCACTTTTGGGTTTCGAATTCTAGTTTGGAAACAATTTTCCTTCAGAATTGTGAGGTATTATTCGAATACCTTTTAGCTTCTAGCATTGGTGAGAAGTCCAGTGTCAATCTGATTCCAGATCCTTTTTAGGTGACTATCTTTTTGCTTAACCACTGGAAGTGTGTAGAATCTTTATTTTTGTACCTAATGTTCTTCAATTGCATAATGTTGTATTTTTTTTTTTTTAAAGATGATCGGTAAGGGGCTCTTAACCCTTGATTTGGTGTTGTCAGCACCACACTCTCCCAAGTGAGCTAACTGGCCATCCCTATATAGGGATCCGAATCTGTGGCCTTG